ACCGGAGTTTTTATTGATGATTTATCCCGGCATAGAATAGCTGTGTCATCCGCAAAGGAAGATGTCTGCACTTTTCGGTTTAATAGGATATCTGCAGTGTATATGATATATAAAATAGGCCCGAGGATACTACCCTGCGGAACACCAGCTTTTACCGGATACTTTAATGGTAAATTGTCTGTTAGTCAGATATGACTTAAGTATCATATAAAATTGAACAGGCAGAGCTTTATGTATTTTGTACAGTAAACATTTATGCCAGACTCTGTCGAACGCTTGTGCTACGTCAAGTAAGATTGCACAACAGTACTCCTTGAGCTCGAATGCCTTTCTGATTTCAATAGTTATTCGGTTAACTTGTTCCATAGTACTATGCTTTTCAAGAAAGCCGTATCGTAGCTTATTGGTCTGTAAGAAGCCGCCTGTGTGTGGTCTTTGCCTGGTTTGGCTATCATTAATATCTGCGACTTTTCCCCGCGTTTTGGAAAGTAATTTAGTTTTAGAATGGCATTAAAGAGTTCAGAGAGCAATGCTCGTGCAACTCTTGGTAGGTCTATTATCATTTTCGATATAATGAGGTAGTGGTCTGGAGATTTCTTTGGATTCAGTTTCTGTATCGTGTTTACCACTTCTAGGCTTGATATTTTAATTGCAAGTCTGAGTCAACTTAATTTCTTATCGCCCAAATTCTTCTTTTTTATACATTCACTTCAACTATTCTCGAATACACTCGTACCTTGACCATATCATTTCGATTGCAATTCTTTCTGTTTTATATTTTTCTCATTGCTTTGCGCACTTCTAGCTGTCAATTTAAATGCACAACTCAATTCAAATGAATATTTTCTTTTTATAAAAATGGATAAAGTGTAAATTAAAATAAAATAAAGCAAAATAAAATAAATAAAAATAATAAAGTGATCATGTGATGTACAGCTAATGGAGTGAGATCACTAAAAGGTGACGCGTATTTTCATTAATATATACACTCTTACATACATACATATATATTTACATACGCACACATTTCATCTCCTAAGCAAGACATTTACGGTGTGAATAATTCGATGAGAGTATGAACAAATATTTATGCACTTGTAAGGAATACTAATTAGAAGAAAATAGTTAACCTGTTTGACAACAACAAGCACTGACAATGATAAAACAATAATTAAAAAAATGTACGAAGTAATGTCCTTGTTCAGCCTCTAATAGGTTTCTCGTATAAGGATTTATGCCAGCAAGTTTTGCTCCTGTGGTGGAAAAAAAATTTACTTCGCGCTCCAAAAATGAAGATGATCTTTTTACAATCGGAGAAATATAACAAAAACTTAGATGTCAAAAAATTTCCCAACTTTTATACAAAGCTGTAAATTTGTCAATATTTTTACCCCCGCCTTGCAAAAGCACGCCCAACTGACTTGCTTTCAACAGGCTTACAATTTGCCTTTACTTGAGCTGTCCAAATAGGATATGCAACATGTTTGTTTGTGAAATATTTATGTAGTTGGAAAGCAAAACAAAATAAGCTGTTTCGAAGAGTCTTTGGTAAATAAATAATATTTAGCTAAAAAGAATATTAAATCTAAAATATGAGACCCCTTTTTCTTCTTCATTCATCGCAACAATTTATCTTTTGCCATAGTAAATTCTTCAAATAAAAGAAGTAGTTTAAATTCTGGCATTCATATTCATCACGAAAATGGTTAACTTTCATTCAGCAGTGAAAATGTTCAATTTTCTACCGATGATCACATAACTTAAATTTGCTTTAATTATTTATATTAGGTAATATATGTATGTGGCGGCCGCGGTAACCGAGTGGTTAGCATTGCGTACTGCCATTCGGAAGGCTCGGGTTCAAATCCTGGTGTCGTATTAACATCCAAAAACTTATAGACAATTAATTTAAATAAAAAGTTAAGCTAAATTTTCTAATTGCGGTCGTGTATTTCTGACATGAAATAAAGCTCCCAATAAAAACACAAAAAGTCGTTCGGAAGCGGCTTAGTATAAACTGTAGGTCAAATTGGAGGAGCAGTTCAACCAAAAATCGCTTCAGCAGTTACAAAGCGCCAATTATATAGTATATATTTAATATATGTACATTTCTACAGCCATTCATACCTGTGAATTCAAAAGAGTTGTGTGTTTTGTAAACAGGACCTTCTAGTCAAGGTGTAACAGAGCGAGAGAGAGAGAGAAAAAGAGCAGGAGTATAAGCTCAATTCACACAAGCAAAGCACATAGATGATAAGAGAGGTTCTCATTTTAGTGTGAGAGCGAAAAGCGCACATAGCGGTGCCCAATAGTCTAAGAACATACAAACAATTTCATTTGAACTTAATAAATATTTTAGAAACTCGTTTATCTTCGTTACGAAACTTAAAGCGATATAAATATAGTAATGAATATGCGTGGTATGAAAGCGAATAAGAGATTGAAAAACGTTGTAGTGGAGTTCGCATGTCGAATAATCAAAGAACATTAAGCTTGATAGGGAAAACAAAAACGAATGCCATAATCTGAAGAGGTTTATCTGTATCGAAACGACTTTTGCAGTACTTAAACGATTTTTGGCCTCGTTTATCTTTCGATTTATGATGTATGTCTTGGAAATTTGCTACAAGTGGTGGGTCTACACATCCCATCTTCATTACAGCTTCGTTATTCCTTGCATTACATTTAGAAAAAAAACCTTTTTTTTTAATTTTGGCTTGGTTGGTTGGACAACACCAGCCACGAACTGAAACACCTACTACTACCACTCAATGACAGCAGCTGGTGAGATGAGTACATTGTAATTACAATGAAATAATTTAGATTTAGGTTCGTGTGTTCTTTCATAGCAACCATAAGTTCATACATACATATCTGTGTACGTATATATTTCCTGCTTGGAAATAATTTAAACAATACCTAAATTTATTTTATATATATTATATATTCGGAGGATACATTTACTTGTATGTACGTATGCATCGGAAACGTGTGCTTACTTTATATACTTGCACAAAATTGTATTTACTTATTTGGGTGTTAACCGTCGGTATATAGTATAATAAATTATAGCTCCCTTTCTGTGCTAATAGCCAGCCTGAGACTCATTCTTAACGACATCACAACATGTAAGTATTCCACTAAACTAACAGCAGGGCGTGACCCACTTTTTGGAGCGTTTAAACAAAGGCAAACTGCTGCTAACAAGTCTTTATTTGTCAACACATGTTTGAATGAAGTCAAATACTTAGAGTAAAGTAAATCAAAATAATAAAATAGGTAGATGGAAATTTGAAATTGGAAATTTAAGGATATTTAAATAATCTCTTACGCATACATACATTTCTATGTAAGTAAATCAATCGTAAAATTTTTCTAAGGTACGTTTTTAACGGTTCGAGACCCAGCGGTATCCTATCGTAATAAAACTAGCTGAGGTCCTTACGTAATGTTTTAGAAATCAAAACATACACACAAACTTATTCAAAATTTACTCTTGTTACAATATAATATAATACTTACATGTCAAGCGCAATTTTTTTAACAGCAAATGTTCAGAACTCGATCCACCGGCGTCCAGTAAAGTTTCGTATTTCCAAATTTCAAATATTTTGTGGTAAAATCGTTTTTTTTTTGTTTTGTTGTTGTCGCGTCACCAAATGTTTTATTGTTTTTTTTTTTAATGAGAACAAAATTGAGTAATTAAATTTTTCGAATTTAGAATTAAGTACAAATGTTTATTCAAGCACATATAATATACATATATATGTATATACATATGTACACAAGCAGTATAGACACAAAAAAATGGCAAGTTAACACATATTAAAAACACACACAATAAGAAGTAGGCTTAACCATGAGAAAAATGCGATAAAATGTGTTTTGAAAAAATTTCATTTTCCACTTTCAATGTTATAATCGATTATCAACCGTACATAAATCTGTATAAAATGTTTTAATCGTTACATTCAAAAAATTATGGCTAAAAATATATTGAAAAAAAAAAACACTTTCTGAAAAGGTTAGAATTTTTTTTCTTATTCAAAAATAAAAAATGAATCAAATCATTTTAATGCGTAATCGTACAGGTGTTATATACATATGTGCATAGAGTTTTTTTTATTCATGGCAATGATTATGTGATTTGATGAAATGTAAGTGTTTTTCACGTTTTTATTACATATTTGATTCCCAATTTGCATTAAAATATAGTTAGAGCAGTGAGATGTGTATATGTGTGTAAGGGATGTTCCGAAAAAACAACATTCTCAAACAAATCTATCAGGATCAAATCTCAGGCACCCGGAGCAGAATGAATAGAGCTAGATAAATGCATTTTATATTGGCCACAGCGTAAGAGCTTTTTTTTTTGTTTGTGAACCGAAAGGAGTTGATAAACGTTTTTGAAAAAAAACTGCCGAAAAAAATTAAATACATATTAACAGTTATGTTTCAATTTTATTTTACTTTACTACAACTCTTTCATTTTAATTTATTTTTTGAAAATGCATTGACTGAATCAATAAAAAGGCTCATGAATGTCTTTATTGTTAAGAGAACGAAATTCGACAAAGGTCAGAAATAATTTACCATAAATTATTTAATGCATTTTTGCGTTTTCCATAATATTTACATTTATGATTATCAAACAGTTATAAGTATTTCTCCATATTTTCTTATACTTAAATATATACACATATACAATAAATAATTTTTGGCACATGTGAAGAGTAAAAATTTTATAATGAAATTTATGGTCAACAAAAGTTTTGTGTTTTTTTTTTAGGAAGTTGGTTAAAAATGAACAAAAAGCTTAACAAAAAACCAGGACATATCGAATAAATGAGGGAAATTTGAAATACATCTACATACATATAAATACACAAAAATATCTGATAGACGGCTAAGCAATAAGAGACAAGCATTGACTTTTGAAATAGCAAAAAATGTGAGATTATATGGCAAATTCCAATAATTAGCTGATGTGTTTGACTCACTCGATTGAAAGTTTGTTTCTTAACCGAATTGAAAAATGGTTGTGTTCTGTGCGTTTGGTGCAATGGAGCAAGGCCACCGGGTGTATTGCTTCGCTTACGGAGGGGCGCAGTTTGAAGACGATGTGAAGCTGCCGAGTTGTACGCGTTCAGATACTTGATTATCTATGTACATACATATGTGCATAAATGGCGCTGTTAGTATTTTGAACGTTTACCTTTTGTTTTAGTTCAATTTTTGTTAGATTATTATTTTGATTCCTTTGTCGATTGGTTTTTATTGCGATTTTTTTTTTACTTTATTTTATATTCCACGTTGTCGTTGATTTTGTGGTATCTATAGTTGGGTTGTTTTTTATCGATTATCTGCTTTTTGTAACCTCTTTACTTCGTATCTGAACAAATGCAAAACGCTCTCACATGTTTTTAAGCTATTTGTTTACCTTGCCTCCTTTTTGAAAAGCGGCTCGCTGAAAACTTTGCTTGTCTTTCTTTTATTTTTCCGCCCCTTTATATTTGTTTTTCCTAGATTTGCTTGAATGTTTGCGAGTATAGTCGTTGTTGAATCAGAATTTTACGCGCGGTAAAATTTACTGCAAAAATACTTATTCGTTTGTTAGTAGGTCAATAAACTATAGAAAATAAACATATTTGGCACTAATTAAAACAAAATTAGCCTGGCAATACCTGTTAGATAACCTCATGTCTAAAAATTTAAAAATCACCGAAAAAATTCCTTCTTAATGCGATCGGTTTAGAAAGTAAAAAAAAAATCCATGATACGTGCCCGGCTCTACATACAAATGTACCTATGTATGTATGAATGTGTTTACAGACATTGATTAAAAATGTCTATATTCTACACCTCATTGTTTGTAAACAATTTCCTTATCATGTATGCACATATATGTATACGTACATCTACAAATACATTCATACATGTGTGTTCGTCTAACAACGCCCGGGGATGCCTTAGAAAAAGTGAACTTGTCGCATATAAACAAATCCAGCCCTTTGTAAATTGCTAATAGCTTTTGAATTTCAAAAATAGCTTTCCTTGTTATGACATAATATTTAATATAGTTTATGCCTTTTTGTTAAATAAAATATTGAATTTTAGTGGGATAAATTTCCACTCTGATGAATATTTTAATTTATTATATTTTATCTCAACTTTATTTTTCCATTTTTTTATTGTAATTTGCAATTCTTATATTTCCAGCCTTTTACTGTTTACATTTCCAATAATTTGTTTTAACTTTTATTTTAAATTTTTCAACATACATACACATTTGTGTGTACATATATATGTACCTAATCGCATACACTTTCATTTGGTTTTCTTCATCTAGCCAACAGCAACCCGTCCAACGTATCACTATTGTGTCTTCTTCTCAGTCTTCGTTCACTTTGCTGTTATGTCAATAAAGAAAAAAACCGACAAATAATCATGGCCAAAAGTGGATACTAGCTGCACATTGGCTAGCTACAGCGATATCAGCTGTTCGCTCTTTTACCCTCGATTTTTGTCAAATCTCATGTATTTATAAAATTCCCGTGGCTCGAAGAATTATATCTTTAAATTGGAATTTGTATTCAATACTCCCCGCTATGATTAAAACAATTTCGAGAACAGGCCAAATGAGGGTTGCTAAAGACAAACGCTTAATAGAGTGGCTCACAACGGCAAAGACAAGAAATGGGGAGAAGTGGGTTGCCCAACGCACGACTGACACGCATAAAATGCACATATATACATATATTCATATATACACACACACACAAGCACAACTTGCAAATAGGCAACGCTGACTACATATAAATATATATACGTGTAGGTATGTAGATTTTGCCGAAAATCAGCGCTGACGACTCAAGTTCAATTCAGTTTATTTGCTAATTTTCCTGTACTTTCCATTTATTGTTATTATATTATTATTTCTTTTTCACTCTATTTAACGCACACACATACATAACACTTTGTATATATTGTATTTTGAAATAAATATTAAATATTTGTTAACTTTTATTTTTCCTTTAATTGTACAGCGTCGAAGCGCCGTGCACACATACCTTACTCGCAGAGTTTCAATTTCAAACTGTAGCAAACGACCAACAAACAGTAGCAAGCAGCAAAAGAATCTATGAGATAAGCGTGTAAGCGCACTCACGCAGTCGGCAGATACTCACCGCATTGTTGATTTGCTTTACAAATATGGCAAGCTTCTAAAGCTCACTGCTCTCCGCTCCATCGTTCACCAAAAGGCAGAAAACACGTCACTACTCAGTGGTCCAGTTGCCCACATGCGCCATTTAAAGCTCACTCTCACTTGAATGGTGGTGCTCTCATCCTCTCACGCACGCAATAACAATTTATGGTTGGTATATATGTATGTACATACGTGTGTCTGTATGACGTAATGAGAAAAATAAAGTTGTTGAGCTTTAAGCTGAATTAAATGTTTTTGCTGCAAATTTGAGTTGGCTACATGCTAGGCGCCTGAAAATATGTGTCACTGACTTATTGCCTCTAGTTCATGAGAACTCAACGGATACAGCAAGATTGGCACAAGGCGGGCGACAAATGGGTATTAAATGCAGTTAAGACATTGTTGTTAAAGTAGATTCAAACATTAAAATAAATAAAAAAAGAATATGTTACAGTCAACCATCGATCGATCGGCCTGTTCATGATGTTCTGAAGATTTTTTTTGTACACTTATTTATGCATTTATTTATGCCACTAAATTTTTTTAATATTTCTAACAACTGTTAAATGGCAATAAAACCCCGCGATGCCATACCTTCTTTTCTATGTTTAAAAAAACACTGGTTTTTTACATAAACATTTCGTTTTGGCTTTATTTCATTTTTATCTATTTTTTATTTGTATTTCCATGTGTATTGAGTTTAATACATGTATGTATGTCATTTAATTTGTTTATTAATTTTTTACCTCCAAAATTGAACATTATTTCATTAATTTGTGTGTATGGAAATGCAGAACTTCAGCGTTTTGTTTTCAGATTTTTTTTCGTTAATTTTGGTGCTATAGCTCGATAGTCTTCTGATTTTTCTTTGTTTGCCCTCGTTTATTATTGTATCCCTCATTTGCAATTTTGTTCTTTTTTCAAATAAGTTTAAGTATTAAGATTTTCTGTTGATTTTGTATGTATGTATATTTAACACTTTATTATTACTAAATTATCAATTAAATGTCAATTGTAAAAAATCATCGCTTTTCATTGTTTTTTTTGTTGTTTTTGTTATTTCGTTATTTACTTATTTCTTCTTATTTGCTCAAATTAAAAACTTATTACATTACATTACTTAGATTTTAAGCGTTTACTTTTTAGTGGTGTAATCTGTATCTTATAAACATACATATGAAATGAAATACATACATTCGATTTATTACATATAAACAAGAGATTGGGGGAATAACGTTAATTATTAAATGTATGTATTTTGTTTTTGTATTTTTTATTAAGTGTATAGTATTCACAGCTCTCCTGTGTTCAAGAACGAGAAGTTGGAAGGGAATGTGAGGGGTACACATTTGGAGAAAAATATTGGTACAACTTTTCTGTTACAAATAGCTAAACAATTGCAAGATACATTGTTGTACTCATCGCAAATGAAAACTATGTTTACGTAGAAACAAAAACGATACCTGAAACGACTCTTTTTAGACCTCTCTACGTTCTCATTGGGGGTCTTATCTTAGTCACAAACGGAAGTATATATGTATGTATGTATAAATTGGTTATTCAACACTTATTTCGTACATTCACCATTATCGCGCTAGCTTTTGTGTTGACAATTCATCGTTTTGACTTCTAATTCGGAATTGGGTGTACATATATGTACATATTTTTAATATGTGTTTTTCGCCTATTCATATTTTTTAACTTATTTCCTAATTTGGTTTTCTTTAACTCACAACTGTATTTCCATGCAAATATCATTTGCTGTAATGTATGTGTTTGTATGTTTACTTTTATTCAAATAAAGAGTTTTTACTATTTGTGGCTTAGCTTGTTCAAAACGAGTTAGAAATATATTCTTTTAATTTTTCGTTTTAACTCATTGAGATTTGGCGAATGCATGCTGGAAATGTTTTCGAAAGGCTCTGGCGTTTTCCGAATGGGAGCAAAAGCATTGTGATAGCAAAGTTTATAATTCGTACCTTTAAATGCTTCCTCTCCTGCATGCTTGCAGGCAAATTAAGGTGTAAATGTTTATTTGCAAATTTAAAATTAACGATATTTTAACAAACATCGTTACCTTGAAATTCATTATTTTCGATTCAAAATTGCTTGCGAACTATCTAGAGAATAGTGGAACTTCAGCCATTCTAAAATTCATTCGCTTTCGACTTTTTTTTGCACCATTTAGCAAAGCTACATTCGTCTCTATGCATATATGTATGCATTGAACAAGTACGCTTGTTACAATAATTGCATATTAATCTCTTTTACAATTAGTGAATGATTTTATTCGTTCTTTTAATATTTTTCTTTTGTTTCGTTTGTTCAAGTTTGTTGATATATTAGCATACGTGTATTATATTGCATAATAGTAATAGTAACATTTAGAAAGCAGTTCTCTGGTTGTATATAATCGATTTTTGTTATTATTTTTATTATTTTTCAAAATTTTTTGTTTTACTTTACATATTCTAGAGTTAATTGCTATGTGGTATATTATATGTATGTATTTTAATGAACGATCGCACGTACGCACATAACTCACGTTATAACTATATGTAACCGCATGTATAAAAGTATATACTATAGAAGTAAAAATAAATTGCACAGAGTGTGCACAAAAAAAAAAAAACAAAAAAAGTTATAAAATGCATCTAATAAAGTTTAAGACATGTATTTGCTATACAGAAGTATATGTTTATAAAAGTTATAATACAAAATTTTGAAATTTTTTATTACAGTAAATTTTTACATATCCTCTGTAAGTATATGTATGTATCAACTACATTTTAAAAATAGTTTAATTAAAAAAAAATAATGGATTTTGCAGTGTTAATGCAACATTTAGCAATAATAATTCGAAGAACTCAAACAAAAAACTTGTTTCGAAGCTTAGTGAACCGCATTTAAGAGGGAGGCTGCTAGATGTCAAGGAACTATAGATTTTGAATTTTTGTCTATTTCGGTTCATAGAGTTAAATGTAACAAATAAAATACATATTAACAAATTTTGTACGAAAGACCTGCTCAGCTTCTTATTTGAAAAAAAATTTTGCAAAGGATTTTCAATTATAATATAAATACAGCGAGAATCGTATGATCAGATAAAAATTATTTTATTTTTTAATGTAGTATAGTTTATAGATGCAAAGAGCGAGCAACGATATATTACACTTAAATATTTTATATTTTTATAATTATTCTTTTATCTAATACGAAAAATTTAAATTTATAAATTTATAGTACGAAGAATCGACTCTCTTTAGAGTTGCTTTCGGAATTGAAAATGTTCCACCTGCACAACGCAATGGTAACTTGAACTACGACGATCCACAAATTTTGCTAATGAAAACTTATTGCATGACGGTTGTTATATATATATATATATATATATATATATAGTTTCTACTATGCCATTTGCATGCTTTTATTTGGATGTGAAAATCGCTTAGCACGCATATAAACTACGTGTATGTATGTAAATGAACATGAAAACGCCGTGAATTTTAGTATTTATATTTGTGTGTGTGTTTGGAATATCAATTCACCGTTGTTTCTATTAATATTATTCGCTACTACAGTAAATGTCTATTATTTAAATAATTTCAATACATATTCAGTTCATTGTTGTTTTTCATAACATGTTAATATTGTTGTTGTGTTATATTACGCTCTGACCGCACTGTTGAATTTTGCGGCAACCACCTATACTGTTGATACTCAAGACTTCATAGTCTGAGGACTAATGTTTTTCGTTTATTATTACTATTTTTTGTTGTAATTTTTGTTAGCTTTATTTTGTATGTGTATGGAAGTATTTGGTCTTCCATTTGAATTTCTGTTTGTTTTTATGTAATGTATATAAAAAGAATGTTTGTTGAATTGTTTCAAATTGAAGTTTGTAGATAAACCAGAGCGGATAGATCGACAATAGAAGAGGAGATTTCTACGACTTCCAACTATCTACGTATTAAGACTGCTACTTTTTTTTATCACCGACAACTATATTTTTGATCACCGTTCGTCGGCTACTAATGCTGCGCGTACCAGACGACTGTTGCTGCTCTTATCTTCTATTGAACTCGGATTTTATGACTGAAAATTAATTGTTTATTTGTTTAGTTAGCTAAATAAATTGCAGTTGAATGTGTACCTTCGATGATTTCTTGTTTGACCTTTTGAATCTCAGAGCGAATCTCTTTCAGTATATCAGCCTTTAATGTGTCCAACTCAGTGCTTGATAAAGCCAATGACAGACCATCGCCATTAACCTGCTGTTCAAAATAACAAATGACGCATTAAATATATTTCAAGTATGTATGTAGATATTGTATTTGAAAACAGACCTTAAGTATCGTCTCCTCGCTAGCACTACCAAATCGCTTGCGCATCGGTCGTGGCGACTCACTGCCGCTGTTCGATGTATTGTTGGAAGAGGCATTGCAATTCGTGTTCGATGATGAAGAGCCCAGTTTGTGTGGTAGAGTGTTCGATTTTTCCCAAGGACGCTGTTTAACTTCCGGTTCAGAATCGGGCTTCAGAAAAAACAGTGAATGGTCGCAATTAAAAATTGTAAAGCCAGTTTTATGACAATTACTCACCTCCTTCTTCTCTGCTTGTGCGCGCCTTCGTGCCAACGTCTTAGCCATCTCATCCATCATCGAAGCCATACCAGTCGAGCTGCGCCCTATTGTGCCATAGTTTCCGCTGCCTCCACTGGAGGTGCTGCTACCGCTATTCTCTGTGGGTGCCGCCGTTGGCTACATAAAGAGAATGATATACAATCAACCTATTAATGTTCTCGTATTCTGTAGCGCGACTGACCTTATTCTTCTTTAGCTTGGCCTGCTGTAGTTGCGCTGCTAACGAACCCATTAGATCGGCTTGTGGATCGTCTTTTTTGGTTGATGGGGCGCCTCCCGCTGGTGGTGGAGGTGGTGGTGGTGGCGCCGCTGCCGCTACGGGTGGCGGTGGCGGTGCTGCTGGCGCTGGTGGTGCGCTGCGATTTACATTTGCCGGCGGTGGCATCGGGGCGGGTGGTATTCCAGCGGCACCACCGCCACCGCCCATTATTGGCGGAGCTGGCGCACCGACTCCCCCAAACGGTGGAGGAGGTGGTGGTGGAGGTGCTGCGGCAGCTCCGACACCACCGTTCTGCATAGGAGGTGCTTGCTGTTGCTGTTGTTGTTGTTGTTGTTGTTGTTGCATTTGAATCGGTTGGCCACCATATACGGCACTATTCGAGCTAATTGAAGTGGGCAGCGCTGGCTGCGATTGTGATGAAGAAACATATATTGGGCCGCCAGCGGCGCCGCCGCCACCACCACCGCCACCACCGATACCATTCTGATGTGGTGGCGGCATTGGCGGCTGAGGAGCGCCTGGTATGCACTGTGGCGGCGGCTGTTGCTGTTGTGAATATTGATGCAGATTAAGATTCGGATTAGAATTAGATAACATAAAATGGCTGGGCTGGTACTGTGATGATGACGAATGATGTTTTGGTTGGTTGGTTGGTTGGTTGGTTGGTTGGTTGCAATGCAATTGCAATAATGGTTGATTGGTTGGTGGTTGTAGTTGGTAGTTGGTGGTTGGTGTGATAAGAAATATGTTGGAGGCGAGCAGATTGGATTTGGAAACGGAGAGACGCGTTGATAAATCAGGCAATACAGATGGACGGACGGGTGGAGAGGCGATCAGCAGGATTTATTGTTTGAATGTTTGGTTTATATTTTTTTAATTATCAAATTTTTATATTTAATTCAATGCGAAGGCCAATTTCAAATGAGTTCCAAAGTTTGTATGGAAGGATCGAATTTAGAACCAAAGTGACAACAGAATATGAATGTAAAGCACACAAAAATGCAATGAAATGAAAGAGAAAATTAAGACAAGAATAATTTAGCGAAAGAAGAAGCTTTTCAATTACAAAATATTTGTTAGAAATACACAAATACATACAGGTATGCAGTATGCGCACTATTCATATATACACATTCAATAGAGAATTGGTAAATTTTATCTTGGTCAACCTACCTGTGCTTGCTGCGGATAGCCGGCGTTGACCAGCTGTTGTGCGGAATAGACGGCGTGCGAAGCCTGTGGAGCTTGATGCATCTGTTGCGGTGCATGGTATTGTGGCTGGCCCGGAGCGGGCGGTATCTGCGACTGCTGTTGCAGCCCATTCTGCTGAACCGGCTGCCCATACGGCGGTTGTGGCTGTTGTTGTGGTATTGTCATCTGCTGCGGTTGCGGAGCCGCTGGTGCGCTAAGGGAATTTCTTTAGTGGTGAAATGGATTTTTTTGTTCGGATAGGCGAATTCGATAGAGGAAGAATTTCATTTGATTTTGTTATGTCATGACATGACAATGAGGAATTCGAAAGTGATAGATGATAGGTGAAATGGTTAAAGGGGCATAGGGAATTGTTAGTTATTAAAGAATTAAGTTGTGAAAAGAAAAGAATATATGGAAAGAAATAAGTAAATGGTGCATATGAATGCGATTAAAAAACGGATATTGGTTAGTGTGATAGTAGTGGTGAGCGCATTATGAAATGAAGGAATGGATGTGAAAACAACAAAAAAAAAAAGAAAAAAAAAAAAAAAAAGAAAACAACAAAAAAAAAAGAAAACAAATTCAAAATCGTGTGAGTAAAACATATTGAAAATAGATAATAATTTGCACAATTATATAAATACATATATTTACAAATATATTGATAACGAAAAAGAATTGAGATATGCATAATCATAATAGCAATATTTTGAGCAGCAATAAAAGCAAATAAATCTCTAATTTTAAATTTCTATACAATAAAATTATATTATGTAGAAGGAGAAATGCAGACCTAACAATATATAGTGCAATGTAAAAAAAAAAATCTGGTTTATAACTCGAAGTGATTACAGCGCCAGGGAAACAGTCATGTGTACGCAATAATAGCTCATCTAATTCTACATTAGTCTATTTTTCTCTTGGAAATTTTATGCGGATAGTTTTATCTAGATCTTGAATTAATGAATTTTGTATTTGACGTTGACGTTGAGATAAATAAAAATATCATATTTACCTGCTAGTGCGATGATGCCCCTGCGGTGTCGGTGGGCTCTGTGGTATATTGTTTTGATTGGTCTGTGAGGTTGGCGTTTGTGCGGATGGTGTAATTTGCCCAGTGATTTGTTGTTGCTGTCGCAAAATTGCCGCATCTTCACTGGTCATCGTACGATAACCCATATCCTCCTCATAACCATTTCCATTTGTGGGTGGACCACCCATTCCCATAGCAATCATAGCCGGATTATTGCCAACGCGACCGCTCAGCACCTAAATTTAAATAAAAGCAAAATTATTCAAAGCTCAAACTGAATCCAATTCAGAATCTCAACTCACATCCAACGCATGCACCATAGCGCGTGCGAAAGTTTCAGCATCATTTTGCGAAGAGAAATTCAAACCATATACGAATTTCGAATCGCGCCATTGATGGAATGTGGGCGTGGCTTGATTATATTTGAGACCCTTCAATATGGAACAGTTGATGACGACCTCGTGATCCTGCAGCTTACGGCCAACAATGCGAAATGTGTTGTTCTGCTGATGATGATAGATCTGCACCTTGCTGAGGCCTGCCGACGTGCCTGATGGTAACCAACGCTTCTGGATATCGTCGTAAACCATGACGGAGGCACGGGCGCCAATAATACTTTGTTCACTGTCGAAAGAAGAAGAATAATATAAATTATATAGGGGGCAATTAAGATTATTGAGAAAATCACAAGCATTCCATACTCGTACATACTTATAAATGTACTGCCTCGAATGTCAACAACTTCAATGATATTAACAGGAAATATCAGAGAGTTTAAACGCTTTTGTTGCGGCTATTTGCAGCATTCTTCAATAAATGCATCAGGAATTTGAAATTAAAGTGGCAATTGTAAAGGAGAATGTCGTAATGCAATACCTGTTACATAGCGAGGTTTCTTCCCAAACATAAATAAATAAATACAATAGACAGGCATATGTTGTGTGACGTTTTGATACAAAGCTTTCCCACAACCCGGCGTATAGATACTAGAAACAACAACAGCAGCAGCATGAATCATTTCTAATGAAATCAAGAACAAGTTCAAGCCATTAAGGAAACACGAGCTGAGTGGCAGCAGCGCCTCGCAAAGTTGCTTGAAGGAAAAAAGTGAACGGAAAACAAAGTTCAATGTAGAAGTGCAAGAACAACAAAGCAAACGCATAACGATGACAGAAATGTCAGGCAAATGGGTTCTTCGGAAAAACTAAATAAGAACTGATATAAATTAAAAATTAGTAATCTCCCAAATCCATTTTAGAATAAGCATATTGAAATAAATACTCATGTAGATACATATGTATGTATGTATGTATTTACTTTTCCAGCTTCTAATCTCTTTTGAAGCAGTCAATAGCGCAACCACTCAATTCATGTCATTACTTATATGGACCGTCAGAATGGCAAACGAGTTCAGCGATCATGCCACACTTGCGACCAAAAGCGTTTGCGCTACATAGAATAAAAGAGGTGATTGTCCATATGAACAAAAGGCGTTGAACAATGCTTCGCAGGTAAAGAAGATGCAAATTCAAAAAGTAAATAAATAATATGAAAAACTAAAACAGAAGTGAACCAAAATTGTAAACAAATAAGAACAAAAAATTAATGATGAACGGATTGGAGAAGCTAAGAAAGAATATTTTTAAGCTATTCAGGCGCGGGACATATTTGTATTTGTAATACGTTTCAAAAACTTCAAAAAGTCTTAATTATGTGTTAATACAACAAACAAAAAAGAAAAAACACACAGAATTTACTTTGCTGTGGTGACACCCAATGGTCCGCATAACCGACAGAACTTCCACTCTAAGCAACCTGGTCTCGCCGAAATAGAAATGAAGAAAAGCAAAAACTGCAATGGACAAAAGCAAGAGTCAACAGAAGGCAGCTGAGTAATGTTGGTATAGAGTAGTAGATCAAAAGCAAAAACAGTTACCAAACAACTAAAAGCAAATTATATAAACAAAAAAGTCAACGAAACAACAAAACCGCAAAATAACGCCAAGAAGAAAAGCAAAGCAAAAGACTTCAGAACCGGTCGTTGAGTGCAAATGGCTTAAGTAACATATGGTGGACTGGTTAGTGCGACCATTGGCTGAGTATGGAGGAACTAGTTGAGTGCAAATCATAACAGGGGCAGTGGAGAGTCAGGGGAGGTGAAATGTGCGTTTGTCATTGTATCTGATGTTGACGCTGACAACAACAAATTATGATGATAACAATATTATCGAGAATGACAAAAATTTCTTATGAGCTGTTATTTACCTTAGCCAGTGAGTATATATGTATGTTTGTGTGCCTACTGATGGTATTATGTGCAATGAAAGTGAACTTCTTCTTGGCTACAGCTAAACGTGTTGTGCAGGCGACGTCAAAAATAGTTAAAAAGTAAAAATATAAAAAAAAAAACAAAAAAAAAATAAAAATAAAATTGTTTTGAGACACATATGCATATATACGTATGTATACATACGTACATATGCTTGAGTCAAGCAGTCATTGCGCCCTTGAGTTATATTTGCATGTTTACTCGGCTAGTTTAATATAAATTAATTTTAAACTTATTTACAGTTATAGATCAGTTTCAAAATTACAAGAGAAATTCAAAATTCAAAAGGTACTCGAGCGTTTCGAATAATTTATTAATTGGTGTTGGAGGAGAAGCGAAATGCAAGCCTTGCAACCAATACGAGTTAATGTTAAAAACCGTTATGTCTTGTTGTAGATACATACACGTATGTATGTATGAAAAACGTTAAATTTTGTTTTTCGCTTTTTGATTTTCTACACACAAAGCAAGCGTTGATTGGACGCGTTCGCTGATTCCTACTTAATTGTATATAATTGAGCGATATTTATTTATATTTATAAGTCGTTGTGCTACCAATTCGAGCAAATCAAGGTTATTTATTATAACAGTGTATGTGTTTGTGTGTGAAACTATGAATTTTAGTTGTATTGCAAGAAAGTAATTTGAATCGGTTTCCGAAATGGAGTTTTCGAGCACTTAAATGAATTTTTGGGAATGAATGAACTCCAAAAGTCTCTAATATCTTTTTTTTTTTTTTTGAATGGAGCACTGAATGGTTTTTACAAGGATTACAGAATAATCAGTGGAGTATTAGAGAATTTCTCAAAGTTTTTAAAGTGTCACATCGATTTTAGATCATAATAGAATTCGAAAAAAATCAATTTTGCCAATTTAAAATCGAACAAGAAATGAAGATATTGAGCGCTACAACAAAAGAATAAAGCAAAAGTTAAACTAAAAATATATTGCAAATAAAAATTTACCTAGAATGAGCAGCAATTGGAGGTTTTTATGCTTAATGCCTTGCGTTTAATGCGCTAAGAACGTACATATGTATGTATATACATATGTACATAAATATTCGTTGACCAGGCCAATGCCTGTACGCTCGATAAAGATTAAATCTGCACAGAAATTGGTTTTGTTGTTACTGTTGCCACACTAGCGAGTGGCACACATCACACATCGCATATTGAGGGCATGACTCACGAGGATACTAAGTTATTGAACTCTCTACGATCGGTCAAATGTAGAATGCAATAAACAGAAGAAATACAAAGAAGGAAGTGAGAAAATGGCCAAAAGAAATTAAATTCTCAGTTGACACGTCCGATGAGTATAAAGAAATTGAGATTAGCGTAATAAGATAAAGATAAAGATAAAGTGGGGAGTGGAGAGGCGAACAAAAACCAAGCCAGAGGAATTATAAAACTTATTGTGAAGCTTCATAGCAACGAATGTGATTTCAAACTTTGCGCTGGACAAGGTCAGCACCACATCGAATGAAAATGTTTCTAGTTTATCCCCTGCGTTAACGACAAGACCTGCACTGAACATTTGTGAAAGAGCCGCTCTTCGAAATCCATTTCTTGCACTGAGTTAACACTCATCGCACTCATCAAAGATTTGTAAGGTGTTTTTCCTCAAAATAGGGTACAACCCGTAAAACTAGAAACGCGGAGCCAGACACAAAGAATTCTTTTCTAGTTTCGATTTAACCGTTGCCCCCTCAGGCGTACATATCTATTAATTTTAACTTCGACCCAAACTTTGCTACACAAATTAAATTAGAGAAGCCGACACACAATGCACACTACACGCAGTAATTGATGCTCATCCATCGTATTCCCTTCCACACAACTCTCTTTTACGTACACATGTCTAGCATTTGTTGCTGTTGTTGGCCAATTATTAATTATATTCGCTTTGACCGAATTATAACGCGTTGTTGTTGTTGGTGGCTGATAATGTTGATTACTTTGTGTTTGTTGCTGTCGCATTTTCAGTTGCTGCTGCAGCCGGTATAAATGCAATTGCTGCAAGCCACCATAGCCATCCTCCCCGTCAGTATCATCCTCTTCATCCAGCCCCGCCGCCGCCTCCCCGGCCTCTGACCTGTCGTTCGTCACACGAATCGACGGCATCGAGTGCGTATGTTGCAATTTGCGTAAGTTTTTGAACGACAGCGAGCCGGAACGTTGCGATGTGGTGGAGACAGGAGGCGACGAACTCAATAGTTTAGAATTTTCCTTTGTCACTGCATCAACAATGGGCAATGAACCGAAGCCAGCAGCTCGGCCGTTGAGAGCTGTCACCACGAAATCGTCATCATCATCCAAATCTTGTTCCTCGATGCCGCCAGCAACAAAGGCTGATCGTGTATTGTAATCGTAGGTGAGGGAATGGGCACCCACACAACCACCACCACCACCACCACCACCGAAACCAGAGTCGTCAAATGCATTGTTGACTATTTGTGGTGCCTCGTAAATGGGCGAAGTTGCTATTGTTGTTGGCTCAGACGTAGCGGCCAATGGCAATTGCAACACTAACTTGTGATGTTCATAGTACGAGACCGGCGGAGCGGATGTTGCCGACGTCAAAGTGGAATTGGATTGACGAAGCAATTGATACTGTTGCTGCTGTCGATGAAAGTGCGGGTGTCGATGATCGAGCATATTGAGCTGCTGCAGTTCCTGTATGGAGTAGTAGTAATGGGCGTCATCGGGCTGAAAGTGTCTGGCCAGGGATGGATTGCTCGCCGACAGTGATGAAGATGCTGAAGGGGATGTACGCGACGGTGGTGGTGGGAAAAGTGAATCATCTTCGTTACTGATAACTGCGGTTGGTGTGTTAACGGTGGATGGTGGCGAAGCGAAAGCGGATGTTGGCCTTTTGTGTATTCTTTTGCGCATTGTTGCTGTTCCATTGCTGCTGCTTATATCCATATCAGTTGAATGTGGTTGTTGTTGTTGTGTGGGACCACTTTGATATGCTAGTATAATTGGACAATGTTGCGGTTTGCTGATATATGTGCCAGCATCGATGCAATCCTGGTTGGCATTTTTGCTGTTGTTGTTGGGTTTTTTACTCTTAAACGACGCTTTGGCGTAAAGCTTTTTCATTTTGTATTCGCGATTGATTAATCACATAAACAACATAAACATATGTCGAAATATTTATTTAACCACTGATAGCTCGGGAACTATTTTGAGGTTAAGTGACTAACATTATTTTTATATTTATTTAATGGGTGATATCAAGAATTTCGATGGTTTTAAAATACGACTGTCGAAAATGTTTCACTTAACTT